TTCTCTGAGCATCTTTACTAAGTTCCAGTCAATTATTACAGCTCTGTGCAAGTCCAGTGAAATCACTGGGGCTGCTCAGGTGCAACCACATGGAAGAGCCCAAATTTCAGCACTGGAGATACAAAGCAGGATGGAGAAAAGAGAAAATCTCTTGTACTCCCCAAGTGCAGGTTGAGCTGGCATTGCTGATGGTTAGAAACACCTGCTTTGAGGAGGTGTTGCCTTAAGGGAAAATATCAATAAATAACTGAAATACTTATGATCTGAGCAAAGTGGCTGTGGTTTAATTTACTGAGAAGTGTAGAACTGTTTTCAAAAGCTGGCTGGTGCTGTCCAAGTGCAGGTTTCCACAACTCAGCGGCCCACCCACCTGAGGATGCAGAGCCAGATCTCTGCCAAGTTCAGTAACTAATAAGGAAATAACCCCATCCAAAAAAATATAGAAGCAGTTTAATTTTATATTTCTTCAGTTTTCAATTATTTTAAATTTGTTTTTCTGTTTTTTTTTTAAATTGGAAAGAATTGTATCTCTTCAAGGAATACATTCAACACCCCATTAAACATTAAAACATGAACACATCACTGCACACAGAACAAAACCTGCTTTTTCCTCCACTAGCATTGTAAATCCATCATTGTATTCAAAGAAAATGAAAGTAAGATCTTTAAAGTAAATCTTTTATTTGCCTTTGGCACAAAACCRAATTTCTTTTGTGAGGTTTTCTGTCTGCATAGAAATATTCCCCTGCAACACAGCTCATCGTGGGGAATATTCCCCAGTGTAACATATCTGTCACTGAGATTGTTCCTCAGATGATCCATTTCATCTTGTTACGTCAATAAATACTTACACTTTCTGGGCTGCTCTAGAAAGGGAATCATCCCAGGTCCTGGCCCTGCACAGGCACTCCAGCAATCCCACCCTATGCCTGAGAGCGCTGTGCAAACACTCTTTGAGCTCTGGCATCCTTGGGGCTGTGACCATTCCCTGGGGAGCCTGTTCAGTGCTCCACCACCCTCTGGGGGAGAGCCTTTTCCTGATTCCACCCTAAACATTCCCTGACTCAGTTTCATCTCATTTTCTAGACCTTCTCTGACTCAGTTTCATCCAGCATTTCCTTTCTTCTCATGTTGGCTTAGCAGCTGTTCATGTTCAGATCTCCCTTTGGCTGAGTGCTAAAGACAATGGCAAAATCATGGAAAAGTAAGGTTCCAGGAATCACGTATATAGAACAGCAAGCTAAGAAGATGGTCTACTGACCATCCTGCTGTAACCYCAGCCAGCAGCCGCTCACTCACTCCCCACCAGTTGAATCAGGGAAACAATGGAAAGGATAAAAGCTGGAAAACCCCTGGGCTAGGATAAAGGCAGTTTTACAGGGAAAGGAAGAGCCGTGCACACAAGCAAAGCAAAACAAGGAATGAATTCCCTGSTTGCCATGGTTGGGCAGGTGCTCAGCCATCCCCAGGAGAGCAGGGCCCCATCACACTCACGGGTGACATGGGAAGACAAACATGATCACCCTGAACATTTATTCCTTGTGTCCTTCAGGCCTTCTGGGAGTATAATCYCTCAGAACTTCCTCATGTGCTGTAGAATTGCTGAGTGCTAAAAGCCAAAATGCAATGAATTGCATCTGTGCATTCGCAGGAATGCTTTTCCAAGTGGTCTTCCAGCTAAGGGCTGGGCCATGTTATGAACTGTAAAGAGTATTTATGTGCTGCATCCACTGGGATGAATTATTGGTGCTTCTGGTTGAGTTTGCTGTGCCCCAGTGCTGCCAGGAGTGTCCTGAAGGAGATGAGCTCCACTTCTCTGTTTGAACAGCTGAGCTCATGGGAGGGGCTGCTGAGTAATGTTCCTTCCCACAGTGTCTGAGGCACCACMACCATGACAATGGATGTGTAAGACAGGATTGTGTCCTAGGTCTAACTCCACATCTGGTAAAAAAAATCCATGGCTGCATTTTCGCACTTACATGCTGCATTCCTAGTTCTGATTTGGGAAAGCTTTTTGCAAAGGCGTAATACTCCCAAGATTTTTGTTTTTCTGAGGACAATTGTGCCACAGAAATGGTTTATYGGAAACCTTTGACCTGAGTTCTAATCTGATTTAAAATCATTTGAATTCAGAATAACTCTGGGCTAACTCCAGTGTAAGGGTAGCACTGGTCCTCAGGGCAGCAATGGTGCTTCACAGAAATACAAACAGCAGCTGGCTTTGTGTCCTTAGTTAATTCAATTATATGGTTTTAGTTTAACTTAAACAAAGCAGTGACCTAATTATTATTTTAAGAAACCTATTTTGAGAAGAGGGAATCATATTTCTCACATAAATCCATCTTCAGATGTCTTCTTTAGATGTACATGCAGCTGGGGCTGGAGTTGAGTTTGTGTGGGGAGGGGAAAAGCATACTGGATTTCACTGATCACAGTTGCTTTAAATTATGCAGGGAAGAGGGAGATGCTGTTTACTTGTGAAGAAAACAAGGTTGGCAGCAGAGATCAGAGGGGTCTTGCTTTTGTAATTTCCCTCTGCTATAAAACAAGTACCAGGAGAAGGATTGGTATATCTTGCAAGGATTATCTGAGGGTATATSATATTTGATGCTTGTGACCACTGGACAAAAAATCCGGGTTCAATGGTAGTCAGCATTCTTATCATGATTCTGTCTCAAGCACTGTTCTTCCATAGCTTTACAAGAAGCAATTCAGAATAAATGCTTGGATCTTGCTTTGCCTAAATGTAAATTCGGATCAATCTCAGGGCTTTCTCCTGACATGAACTTTAGAAGGAGTTGAATACATGTTTTCAAATACTAAAATCATAGTTACATAGGATTCTGATTTTTGGAGACATTTTCTACATGTGTCATTTACTCTTACCCTCTTTTATCTCAAATTAAAATCTAACKTAAAATATTAGTCTTCTAAATTGCATAATATACTTTAAAATCACAGCAAGGGAATTGAGAATGGTTCTCAATAACAAACCTTATAAATTCTAGCATTTCCTATTGAACAGTTCTGTCATGTCTGTTATTTTTTTATGTGTTTTGCCTACAGAATGAAAAGGAGAAGCTGACATGGAGTGACCGCATGCCTGGATACGCAGCAAACTTTGGGCTGATTTTATTTATGGTAACATAATCTGCATTTCTGCTTATTTATTACATGTGAGAACCTTTCCAATGAGCATCTAGAGGGAAACCCTTCAACTGGTGTTCTCAAATATGTTAAAAATCTGAAGGTAAGGCCGGTTTTTGAGAAATACTGGGAAGATTCATGGAACTTGATGCCTGCCTGCTGCTTTATTCTCCTTTTCCAAAGGATGTTCGGAGCTCACTTGCTGTAATGCCACCAGCTCATTACACAAATTATGCCTCACCCCCAGGGTTTCTGCTCCATCCTCTGTTATCCAGTGAAGGGATAACACTGTGTATTTAGTTGTGAGCACAGTATTGCATATCTCAGTCCTGGAACAGGCAACATCCAGGTGAAAGAAATCAGTTGCTGAGAAATATTAAACCAAGACACATTCAGAGATGTATAATAGCTGAATATTATACATTCAGGCATGTATAATAGCTGAGGAAGATCATGGTACACAATCCTCCCTTKGGAACATGATTCAGGTGTTCAGGTCAGCCTGTAATGTGTGGACACCACTGTGTCTCTGTTTGAGACAATGTTTTCASAGAAAAAATATTACAGAGTAAATGTTTCCTCTGAAGTGAAAAAATTGATAATTTTTTTCCCATCAATATGAAATAGATGTTCGGGAAAAAGTGAAGAGAAAAAAAGTAGTTTATTAACAAAACACAGTGCCGACAGGACACAGATAAAAAATAACTRTTAGATACTTAAAAGTCCAGGAACGCAGGCTGTCCCCTCTCCCCACAGCCGCTTGGCCMTGTGGTGCAGAGAAACATGGCGACCCCTGTCCCTGGGAAAAAGAAACAAAAGGAAAAAAGTCCACGTGGCCACTTAGGCAACAGTGGCAAAACCTGGAGCAGTCCTCTCCTCTCAGTGGATGAAACAGAGKGTTCGGTGTGCTTTTCTGTCACTGGCTTGGCTTGTTCTGAAGTCCGGGATGAGTGGCATGGCTTGTCCCTGCCAGCACCCGGCTGGCTGGCACTTGCCTCCTGGCTCTCAGACAGCAGCCCTGCCAATCTGCTCCAGAAAATCACATGAGTTACAGAAAAGAACAGCAGTTCAGGGAGAGCTGCTTGCCCAAACTAACAAACACGAGCTAGCTAAACAGCAACAGCGTAACTCCCCTGCACRTAACTACCATAACTAACCTCAGCGAGCTGAGGTACAAAAGCAAATGGCTTTTAAACTGCCTGCGCCACCCCTGCCCCTTCTTCTGGGTCAGATTTAAAGGCACAGATACCTTTTGGGCATACAAGCAGATGACTATAGGAATAGAGTGTTCTCATAAAATTAAYCCAAGACACACTGTCTAGTCAAATTTCCAGCAAAACATAAACACATCATGAAGCTGCTGGACTTTGTAAAGAGCAATAGAAAAGCCTGGGTAACAAACCTTAAATTACATTGTAAAGAATCCCATTATCCCTCTGGTTACAGCAATTACTGACTGAAAGCTTATATTCATATTTACAAYCACTGAAAAATGGGAATGAAACAGACCTATTTACACCATTGCAGCATCCAACATAGGAAACCCACCTAGGGCCTAAACTATTTAAAGGTGCCTAAATGCATTTTTAATTTATTCAAATTTGCATATACTGTATCAGATATCCTGTGAAGATTTCATTTCTTTTGCTGACAATCAAATGCTCMTTGAAGTTAATGTTTACACCCTCATAGATACGTTTATCTATTTATGAAAAGGTATGCATTTTAAATTAAGTATATTTTCTGGACATATTAGGTGTGTCATATGCATATGAACTTGCAGCATTTTGAGTGAGTTTACCATCCTGGGGCCATACCAAGTATTTGCTTTTTAGACAGAACTTTTAAGTGGCATCAGTCATGAGTTCACTTAGAGCAGAGTACACTGAGTCTGACTAAGCACACAGACCCGATTTAGCTTTTACAAGCCATTCTTTTGCAGACAAGGTGCTTACATGTGCTCTTGACTTTCACCACATGYTTAAATCTCCCCTAAGCATGAGCTTAAAGTGCTTTCCTGACTCATAGCCTATGTATTACTCTCCCTGCTTACTGTAACATCTCAGAGATTTATAAAGAGTTATTGCCTACAGTTTGTGAGATGTAAAATATAGAGCTGCAATTCTTCAACTTCTCTTCATGACTAGTGGAAGTAGCTTGACTTTCACCATCTGGCAACGTGGCCAAAATAATTT